TCTTTTTTTTTTTTTTTTTGTCTGTGTTGAGGTTACTCCTACCAACTCCACGGTCTGAAGCCACGAGATCCCACATTGATCCCTAACAGATGCATTTTAAAAACTTTGAGAGGAAGTCCGAAAGGGAAAGTCCAAAGAGGACAATATCTGCTAGTGATGAGCTTGGACCATTACAAATGGTATCAGAGTCAGACATTGGACCATGTGCCAGAGAGGAGGCTGAGCCCCGAAGGGGGTGGACACGAGGCAGTGTGCCAACAAGGATGCTGGGCCCTGAAGGGGGTGGATTGAGGGGTCCTACATCGATTGGAGAAGGAAACGAGTGCCAGCGAGGACACTGGACCCCGAAGGGGAGTGGATTGTGAGATCCTACATCGATGGGGAGGAGAACGAACATTCTTTATAAAAGTGTAGAATTCTCTCCCCAGCAGATGCATCTTAAAAACCTTGAGGGGAAGCCCGAAAGGGAAAGCCCGACAAAATCTGCTAGGGGTGGACTTTTATAATTACAATCATTATATCATGTTCCAGCTCCAGCTTAAGTAACCAATATGAGATTCTGAAGCCACTGGTATAGGGGTATTAATCCCAATAAAGATTTTGATTTGATCATGCTCCAGCTCCACCTCCAGTAACCAATATGAGATTCTAACCTTATTCTTTGATTCAGATTAAGTAACTAAACAAAGCTTGGTTAAGAAGGAAAAACCTGTGCAGTGGGGGATGCATTTCCAGATTTGACTGGAGAAGACGATTTCTTTGCCTCCTTTAGATAGGACTTCAGCAATGGCACTGGAGGGAACTGCACTGTCAGTTCAAATGCAAAAGCCAAATTCACAGCATCAATTTGCCTTCCACTGTTAACCAATACTTCAATGACACCTGCAGAAAGACAAGCAAAGAAACCATTAACAAGAGAACGAAAAGGACAAAGGTGAGGCGAATCGCATCCAGACAAGAATAACTAAAATAGTAATGCAAGCATAGTAACTTTTTCGACGTTTTGGCACATATTTTTCAAAATCTCTAGCACCTAATATGTAACGGCCCAAGCCCACTACTAGCAGGTATGTCCTCCTTGGGCTTTCCCTTTTAGGGAAAAGGTGTCTGCTAGGGAGAGGTTTTCACATTCTTATAAAGAATGCTTCGTTCCCTCTCCAACCGATGTGGAATCTCACATAATATGACTGGTGTGGAAGGGTATTTAAAGGAGAGGCTAGACAATTATTAAGTCAGGACATGGTACATTAAGAATAAAAGACTGACCTGGCATCTTGTCTGATAACCCTAAAGATCGACATAAATCAGCAGCTTGGCGGCGACGGGAGACCATTGGCACGAGCCTGGATAACTCTACATCATTAAAATCAGATGCAATGTCAAAAGTATCCAGAAGCTGCAAAAAGGCATGAGCCTCCAATGAGTTGCCATTACTCGCGTCCACATCAAGAGCATCCAGCTTTGGTTTCCATTCTCCAGCGATTTTCTTTGCTTGTAACTTGACTTCAGCTGACATCACTTTAGAAACAGATTCAACATCCATAGTTTTCAGCAAAATGCTTAAACATTCCATCAACATGATGCAGGTTCGACGTGAACCCAGTAGATCTGAGTTTTTCTTTCCATCCAAGTTTGCAATTTCTCCACTGTAGAAGTTTTCCAGGGAGTTCAAGACCATATAGGCTGGGTTTGCTGCTGCTTTTAGTGCAAATGGAATCTCATCCCTTATTGCAGCAAGGTTCTTTCGGTTGTCTGATATAAATTTGTGCAGCCCTGCTGAGTCCATCTCTTCACATAATTGTACTAATTGAGGATAAGACTTGACCCCGAAGTGTCCATCATCATGAGTATCTTTCACAACTTCTGAGGTATTTTCACTAGTCAAAGAATCAGGTGGTTTATCTAACGCTTTTGGTTCCCCACTTTGATAGTCATCAGGGCAAGAAGGCGTTTCTGATGCCACCTTCCTATGCTTATCTCGTGCAATAGCAACAGCAAATGCTGCAGCATCTCTTTTATTTTGAAGACTCTCCAGCGAGACTTGTTCTTTAGCAAATATAGAAGCTTCACGCTTCTCTAACATTTGACGGGCCTCTGTTGTTTTGGTTGCATATTCCTTTTCTTGGTCTTCTAACTCATCAAAACGCCTCTTCAAGGATTTCTCTAGCCCATGGAAATGTTCTTCAAGTTCTTTCCATTTCAAGTTAAGTGTTAATGCTCTGTGACTTTCAAGCTCAGCAAATGCTTTCTGAAGCTGTTGTATCTTAGAGGTTGTAGAGTCAATTAGCGTTTCAACTGAATGTGTGACATCCATGGCAAAGGAGCTGAAGATGATACGAAGAGAGAGAAGATGTCATTAACTGTCGAATTGGATTTATTAATCCAATTAGGCATCTATTACTAAAAAAAAAGATATACTATGAAACAATACGTACATACATAAATATATATATATAGATTGAGAGAGAGAGAGAGAGAAAGCTCACACTTCATACATCAACAATGAAGCGCACATGACCAAGACAACTTTAAGGCAGCCAATTAAAAAATCCATTGAGATCATCAGTTTAAACCACTAAATCCTCATAGAAAAGTACCATATAACTACGCAAGGAAAACAAAAGGCACAAATGCGTAGGTCGACAAACTTTAAAGCTTTACGCTGCTTTAAGTCCATCCAAGAAGAGAAAGATGTTAGATTCAAGAAGAGAAACAAACTGAAGCTTAGAGTTTGGTTTTCTAAGCACTAAATAAATAATGCTAGGAACTCCGCTTTCGTAGAGAGAAATGGAAGCATTTTGAGGGAGCCCTTCGGCACACCAATTACCTTAGAACTCCTCAACAAAGGCTGTAACCACTAATCGTATGTCAACCCTCCATGGGTGTGCTTAGCTGTTGATGAATCAAAAGCTTTAAAATGCACTGAGTCTTACATCTCTTGTCAACAACTATTCCAAACCCACAAATTCTCTTCTTCCTTTCCAACCAAACTAACCATGGAATAGAGAAAAAAAATCAGCTTGCCCCAACACACATCCTCTACCCAAAAACGGAGGATTCAAAATGATTACTTCTAACATTTTTTGGCTAAGGAACATTTAATCACGAGGTGAAATCATAAAAGGGTAAGAAAACCATATGCCCAAGGAAAATTACAAAAAAAAAAAAAAAAAAAAAATTTTCCAATGGACAA